TAATATAAAATAATTAATTAATCTAAATTAGCAACTAATAAATATTTCGATAAATAATATAACATTTACATCTTATATTTACTAATAATTTTAAATACATAATAAACATTCAAATTAAGCAATTCAAATAAATAATTACATATTAGATAACACAATATAAGCCATTAATAATTATTTAATTAACTTCAATAATTACCGGAAAAAAAAGAAAAAAAACAGACGGCCCAGCTTCCCAGTTGACTGGGCGCAATATAAGCCATTAATAATTATTTAATTAACTTCAATAATTACCGGAAAAAAAAGAAAAAAAAACAGACGGCCCAGCTTCCCAGTTGACTGGGAAAGGGCGCCCAGACGGCGTGCCCAGTCGCCAGTTTCCGTCTTCGATTTTCCGGTCGAGGAGATCGTCGGAAAACTCCATTTTCGGCGATCTCCACTCCTTCCCAAGCAATAACAACCCAAAATTCCACATTTACACAAGGATTTCTCAAGAAATATGTATAAAATCATACTTTTTTCCAAAAATAAAAATATAAACATGATTTTTTTTTTTATAAATTTCTTACCTACTTCAGAGGGATTTTGGCCAAGTGGGTCTCCTGTTTTTCCTTATTTGTCGGTGATTGGGTCGACTGTGCTACACTATTTTCCCGTCTCCTTCGACTTCTGCTTCTTTTTCAAGTGAGGGTAAAATTGGGTTTCTCTTCATTTTTTTTGGTTTTCACTGTTTTTTATAATTTTGCCTTTTTTTTTTCATTGGTCAAAGGCCAGTTTGGAAAATTGACCGGGTCAACCGGCCAACAGCCACTAATTCCTCGGTTATTTGAGGGTGAAACGGGTTATATGTTTTGGGCTGGTTTAACTCGGTATTTTCAAATTGCAAATGATATGGTTTATTAAAAAAAAAAAAAAAAAAAAAAAAGGGAAAAACAAAAGGCCATCTCATTCTGTCAAGCTGCAGGTCAACTGATTCGGGCACCATAGCAGAATTGTTATATTTCTTGGTCCCAGGCCAGTCATATTAAATTATAAGAACATGTTAAGTAGACGGTAATGAATAAAATTGTACAAAACAAAGTCAAGATTGTACGAACACATTGTAATTTTTTCACTCGAATCTGGCTTGGCTAATAAAAGCTTTTAAGATTTAGCTAGTCAATAGATAAAATATGTAGTTAAAAAGTGAATAAAAATTGTGAATTATGCATAATTAAAAATAAAGTTTGACAAACTTATAATCTCGACAAATTTTGTCAAATGGGGTTTAGAATTTTGATTCCAATTACCATAGGTTAATGCATTTCCTCATATCAAACCTTTTCTTGTTAAGTGTTGTCAATCAAGAAGCAGCGTGTTTGGATTAGGTATGTTAAGTGAACGCGAGGCAAGCAGCAAAATTTATATCCTATTCGATGAGAGAAAAATGTAATTTTAGTATGAAAATTGAGGAGTCGTTAATTGAGCCACAATTCGATTAAATGAGCATGCTAGCTTGGAGGATCGACTATCGAGCAAAACCTGTTAGTATACGAGTTGAGCTCGACGCGATCCACTTAACATCCCTAGTGCGACCAAATTTAACCCCTGTTTGACAACTATTTTTTCAAAATTCTTTATTTTAATACTCATTTTCAATCACGCATTCACACAAAATAACATATTCTGTACATAAATCCAAAATTTTTCTTTATTTTTTAACGATGCATCCTCCAAAAATTCTTCATACAAAACATTGTTATTACCAAATAATGGCTATCAAACAGGGCTTAGCAAAAGATGCAAAAAATATATTTGAGTTTAGATTTTGTCTACAACCAATAATCCAATTTAGCCACACGTAGAAGGATGGCGTTAGACCATTTCAAGTTGTGCAATTGCTGGTCTGTAAAGCCTTCCAAGAATAGGCGCCAAAACTTCAACAGATATTCAAGAACATATCTCTCCACCCCACAATCATGCGATAATTTTGCAAATTCAACAAAAAAATGATTATATTTTTATACAATTGATGATAGGTAAACGAATCTTCGTTTTCATCTTCCATAGACAAATCTTAGTTTTCTCATCCTCCCCACCAGGAGGGCTGGAGATGGAAAAGATGATTAAACTACACTCTTCTTCCAATCTCCGCCTATCGCCACTGTCTTCCACCGCCTCAACCATGGCGATGTTCCTCCTGGTTCTTTCTTTTTCTGTCCCAAATTATGTCAATGCTGTAAAATCTGATTCATTCACCCCACAAGATAGCTTCCTTCTTGATTGTGGCGCCACCACCTCCACCACCCTCCCCGGCCAAAGGGTGTTCTTGAATGATCAAGAAACCAGCAAATATTTGGCCTACGAAGGACGAGATATAAAGGTTTCTGTCACCTCCGCTGATGTTCCTTCACCAGTTTATCTGTCGGCTAAAATATTTGAATCCATTGCAACGTACACTTTCCATGTAACCAGGCCGGGTTGGCATTGGATTAGGCTCCATTTTTTCCCAGTCGAGAACAGTGAGAAGGATTTGAAGAATGCGCAATTTTTAGTCAAGACGAATGATTTGGTACTAATCCATGAATTTGAAAATACTGGAAACACGAGCTGGTCTATGAGGGAGTACCTTGTCAATGTGACAATAGAGAGATATTCTGTTGTATTCCAACCTAATAAAGACAGTGTGGCTTATGTTAATGGAATTGAATTCGTTTCAGCTCCCGATATTCTTATTGGCGATGTTGGGTCGATGCTTTTCCCCAAGGGACAGTACCACGGGCTAGGCCACAACGCGTACCAGACGATGTACAGGTTGAACGTGGGAGGCAATTCTGTCACCCCACAGAATGATACCCTTGGAAGAACCTGGGAACCTGATCGTACATATATCGATCCAAGTGTTACTGCCTCGAATGTTTCTGTCTCTCCCAGTATTATTACATATCCTGAGGGGGAGTCGCCCTTCATTGCTCCACCTGTGCTTTATGCATCCGCCACTCAAATGGCGGATGCCAACGTTCTGGTACCTAATTTCAACATCACTTGGAGAATGAACATTGATACTTCATTCACCTACCTGGTTCGTTTGCATTTTGCTGATATCGTGAGCAAATCTGTAAATGATCTCTATTTCAATGTATTCATTAATGGAAAGCCAGCGATTACCGGGCTGGACTTGACCACCGTGGCAGGTGGCTTGACGGCAGCTTATTATGCTGATTTTGTGATGAATTCTTCCATGGTGGACAATGCCAACCCGATGACTGTTCAGGTTGGACCGATGAATGAAAATACCGGTACAAGAAATGCACTTCTCAATGGTCTTGAGGTTTTCAGGATGAACAATTCCGTTGGTAGCCTGGATGGAGAATATGGTGTTGATGGGAAGTCGGCTGATGGGCCAGGCCGTGGTACCGTGGCTGCTGTTGGATTTGCAATGATGTTTGGAGCATTTGTCGGTTTAGGTGCAATGGCTGTCAAGTGGCAAAAGAGGCCACAAGATTGGCAGCAGAGTCATAGCTTTTCGTCTTGGTTGCTTCCGCTCCATGCTGGAGACACGACCTTTATGTCAAACAGTAAGACTTCTTTAGGCTCTCGTAAGAGCCAATTCTTCTCATCGACTTCGGGATTAGGCCGATACTTTTATTTAGCAGAGTTGCAGGAGGCAACCAAGAACTGGGATCCAAGTGCAATCATTGGTGTTGGTGGCTTTGGCAACGTCTATATAGGAGAAATCGATGATGGACTGAAGGTCGCCATTAAACGAGGCAATCCACAGTCCGAACAAGGGATTAATGAGTTCCAGACAGAGATTCAAATGTTGTCCAAGCTTAGACATCGCCATTTGGTGTCGTTGATTGGATATTGTGATGAAAACTCGGAGATGATTCTAGTTTATGAGTACATGTCCAATGGACCTTTCCGCGACCATATTTATGGGAAGGATTTACCACCCCTATCTTGGAGGCAAAGGCTCGAAATCTGCATCGGGGCTGCTCGTGGGCTCCACTACCTGCATACTGGCACGGCTCAAGGCATCATTCATCGTGATGTCAAGACCACCAACATCTTGTTGGATGACGATTTCACAGCAAAAATGGCTGATTTTGGGCTGTCTAAAGATGGTGCAACAGGTGGTGAGCAAACTCACGTGAGCACGGCTGTTAAAGGAAGCTTTGGGTACCTCGACCCCGAGTACTTCAGGAAACAGCAGCTCACGGAGAAGTCTGATGTGTACTCATTTGGGGTTGTCCTATTCGAGGTCTTATGCGCCCGTCCTGCCATCAACCCTGCATTGCCAAGAGAGCAAGTAAACTTGGCAGAATGGGCAATGCAATGGAAGCGAAAAGGTCTATTAGACAAAATCATCGATCCCACACTAATCGGGCACATCAACCCCGAGTCAATGAAGAAATTTGCAGAGGCTGCAGAAAAATGTTTGGCTGAATATGGGGTCGACAGGCCTAGTATGGGCGACGTCTTGTGGAACTTGGAGTACGCTTTGCAACTTCAAGAAGCCTCGTCCAAAGGAAATACTGACGAAGAAAATAAGGCATTAGCCACCCCGGCCTCTCCTGCTATAGTCCCTCCTGCAGCTTCTACCACAGACAACCAGCCTCTTTCTCTACCTTTGGAAAGTAACAACCCGGCTGAAGTACAAGTCATTGAGGAGCACTCTGGAACAGCAATGTTTTCACAATTTGCCTCGCTTAGTGGGCGATAATTGAACGTTTATTAGATGATCGAGCGGAAATCTAGATGGTATATATAAAATTACCACATAAAAGTTGAATTCCAGGTTGCCTGATCTTTTGTATTCTCAACTTGTGTGTTATATGGTGTAATTTAAGTAATTTTTCATTTTAGATGTAAATATGGTTGTCACTAGATTTTCTGCCACTGTCTTCACATCAACTATAATACTAACAGATAACATGACGTTTCCATTATCTTCGTGATCGACTATGAAAAAGAAAAGGAAAATGATCGTCAGCAGTAGTATAATCCAATATAAAAAAATCTCAAGAATTACTTTTCCACTAATGATTGAAAAAAAATAAAAAATAAAAAAAAATAAAACTTGTCATTCTGTGGCTGCTGCTTAAAAACTGGGCTGCTTCTTTTCAAAGTATTTCTGGAGAAAAACAGCTAGAAAAGCTGCTTTAAGCCTAGCCAAATATGCTGAAAATAGTAAAATTCCATGAAGAAAAGGAAAACTTATCAATATGAAAAAACAGTAATCTTTCAATTTTATAATAAACTAGTCAACAAAAAATTTAACCTTTAACAACACGACCTCACACACTGATGAAAGCATGAAAAATTGATCGATGTTCTCTTTTTCCGGTTTAAACCATTCACAAGGCAGGTCAGGCAATAAATCAATCCTCAGAAGAAGAGTGCATAAACTTTTCGATGTAGATATTTAGAAAACCTTTGAAACGCAGAAGATTTGTAGTCACGTCATTTCTTCAAATATTTTCTCTGCTATACATTGTAAAACATGTAAATAGCTTCAAATTGTTTGAAGTTGAAATTGTTTACAGCCTTTAGAATAAGTTCTTCACAAAAGGATTCCATTTTTCTGATTATGTCGAGAGTATTTGCATATTTCTAGTTGTTATGAAGAAATCTAAAGCTAGTATTTTCAAAATTCTAGTACTAAAACAAGTATATGCAACTCCTATATTGACAGTTAAGTCCCTAAATCCATTATACATGTAGGAATATTAGGTCAACAAGCGGTCAAGTAGATAACTGTACAATATGATTATATTCCACCCGCCCGACAGGTTGGACAAAAAAAAGAAGGGGAGAGAGGGTTGGGGGGTTGATTGAATCAACATTTCTTGATTGAACGTTTGCAATTGACTTTGATAGTCACCACAGCACACCATCCATGAATGAATACGATTGGAACCCTTTTGATTGACCTTTATATATAGTTGGAAATGTGGTGTCAAATGAGAAATACCTCATAAAGGTTAAGCTTAGCGAACCAATGAACCAGAGTAAATGTAGATAACAATTCTTCCAAATCCATAAGCATGCATTTCTTAAACTAAACAATCACATCTTTCTCGTACAACTAAAAACTCGTATAGTGTGAAAAACCCGGTTACAAATACGCTCGATATCAACAAAAATTTTCAAGTATAGTGACCTTACACATGGATAGATTAAGGGATAGCTTCTCACGAAAGTAAGATTGTGCATTCTTTCATGGCATGTATACTCATTTTTTCGTCTCATTGTACACTAATGTAATGTAACGTTTGATTATTATTCAAAGGAGGATTGTCGAGATACTATTTAGGAAAAGCAAAATCATACAACTGCATATGCGACATGCATTGCTTAGCAGATCTAAAGAAACAAGAATACCATAATAGTAGGAGGAAGAAGCATTCAGATAGGCAGGCTAATCCATTATGCCGCAGAGTGCAAAGTAGTGATCAATGTGCTACACCAATATATGGCATACAGATGTGTTTCAAAAGAGAGGCACATTTACATTTTTATTTTTCGATTTTCTATTATGATTCATTCTGATCGACGTGCTAGTCAATACAGTTTATTATCAGAATCCATGTAGTGCATATATTTGAAAGAGGTTGACCTTGCTTCTATCATGTACACAGCCTGCCAAATTATCAAGATTTCCCCTTGCCAATCTTTTCGTACACAAACACGATAATATCCTACTGAAAATACAACCATACTTTATATCCCCAGCTCCCAATTTTTTTCTTTTTTCTTTTTTACACAAACATTACAAAATCCTACTGCCCAAAAGTTACAATGTTCAGACCCTCCCAATCCATTAAAAGTTAGAACACACACCTTATATTAAAAAATTTAAGCTACCTAAACAAAAACATTCCTGGAGGTCTTTCTAGAATCACCGTTCCCGGTTGTGTATAAAGTTAGGGTGAAATATTCTAATGAAATAAGACTTGAAGGAAAAATAAAAACTAGCTATTGCTCCCTCTTCTTCTTGCTCATATCAGAATTATCATCGTCAAGCATGACAACATCGTTCTTGCTATGGAGTTCTGCTGCTTTTCTTTTATTCTTCGTTTCATTGGAAACTTTGGATAGCTTTCTTTTCTTCCCAGTTATTGTTGGAATAATTTGCAAATCATCATCGTCTTCGGCCACTAGGGGAACAGCTTTAGATGCACTGGATGTGCTCACTTCATTGTCCACAGTTGTATTGCCATTCTTTTCTGCTGAGCGAGGTGGTGTCCATCCCGAGAGAATCATTCCATCAGATTCCTTCTCCTCGTCAAACTCCTCCCTGAAAATTTTAATGTTATTAGAGCTTAAAACAAAAGACTACATGTAGAGAAAATCTGGCTAGCTTAAAAAGTTCACTTACAAGTAAATAAGTTTCAAAATAAACTAATTTTTAATTGATCAAAATTGAAAATTAGTTTATAAGATCATATTTGGCTAAGCTTGAAAGGCATCTTTTTTGGCAGCATGTATGTATGGCTGAACTTAAAAAGCATCCTTTTTTTGGCAGATGCACCCTTACATGCTGCAACGAAAAAAAAAGTGCTTTCAAGCTTCCAAACATGCTGTTTTTTTTTGCTGATAAGGTTAGAGATTAAAACAACTTTTCTCCTAGAAATAAGAAAAGTAGTTCATCAAACGTGTTTGGAAATAAAAAGTAACTTTATATATTTTTAAGCTTAGTAAATCATGCAGCAAGCAGACCACATATAAACTCAGATCATGGAATAAGATTTTCAAAAGAGATCCAGAACTTGGACTCTTTCATTAAATGGAAGTAGATGAAATCATTCAGCAGTTATATTGCTATCTTAAATCTAAAATGCCAAACAACGGTGTATTAATTTAAAATGTTGAAATCGCAGTACTTCATGAAGATTTATGAGGAAATCTAATTTTGTCTCTCCTTCGGGGCTTTTTTTATTGGCATGGATTTGTAACCGTACCAATAGTGAAAATCAACAGTAAAGCCACCGTCATCAAGGTAGAAATGGCCTTTTCTTGTGCTAAATCGCTATCAGTTGCAAATATCACATAAATTGAAGTCATTTGAGAAGCAGCAGGAAGAAATAGTTCAGCTAAACAGCATTTGGAAACAAACATAAACATGGGTAATCAATAAAACAAAATGACAGCAAGCACTGATATAATACCATCATCTTTATATTAGCAGGAAACAACAACCTAAATTGAACGAAACTTGCAATAAATAATAGATTATGAGGAAGAAAATACCGTTCACAGAAGGGATGTGAGAATCATACTTATTATTAGTAAAAGAACCAGAATGAGTCGGAAATAAAAAAGTATGAGCTACTCTCTACTTATATGTCAACTTTTCCGCTTAGAGGAAATCACAGAGAACCCCAGAAATAATGTTGTGGTCAAATTTTGAAGGCGAAAAATGTGTATACTTTTAACTGAACTATTGTCTTGTTCATCATGTAAAAATGCCTTCAGAACCTAAACCACCTAGTCAATACTGATTTTATCATGTTTGACTATACACTTGCAGCTCCTGATGTGAAATTATCAGCGACATAATGATTAAGGCATTGAGCAAATATCAGGAACAGTGGAGTGGCACGACACAAACCTATGCTTGATATTGATGCTGCATTTCAGCTCTTGCTGAAGATCCTCAACAGTGAGAATAGTCCCACTAGTGACCGAAGCAGGAAGTTTGGATAGTACCTAACAGATGATAAATGAGCTGAATAGCAATTTGTCATCGAAAAGAAGAAACATACAAGAAAAGATAATCTACCTTTTCAAGGTTTGCTGCATAATTGGCAACCTCGTCTTCCTCAAGATCATCACCAACCTCATACAGAAGGGCTGATCCATGCATGATCAAAGGCAAATTCATGCCTAACTTTGTTTTCACAATCTTGTCAACAACATCCCTCAGCTTCGAGCGATGTGTATTAATCTCAAGATCCAAAGGTGTCTAATTCCAAACGTATAACAAAAATTAGAAGGCAGATGTTCAACCAATCAAAATGCCTTTGTGTTCTATCAAAAATATATTGAGTACATGGATTAAATGGGAAATAGAGAATTGAGCAAACCTCGGAACAGACATAGCATGATTTGTTTGGCTCAGACAGCTCTACTGGCATAAGAAGCATCTTTCTTGAAGGATGCTCAAGACAATAAGTCATCCTGCAGGGACAAGCAGAGCTTGTTAAAAATCATTAACAATTGTGAAATTGCAAATGTAGAAATAAGGTTTGTGACTGTTATGCCATTATTCCTAATTTTTAAGCAGTAGAACATGGTGCTAGCTTAATGCAGCTTTATATTCGTGCAATATGAAAATATCATAAAAGAACAAAAGAGATAGTAAGAATTAAAGGGTAAAAATGGTTATTAATCACCAATTTATGATAAAATGTCATAAATAAAATGTCAACATCACCAAGGAATTTCCCACCACCACCACCACCACCCAGCCAAGAAGCCAAAATAACCATAAATTTCTTTTTTAGTTCTTATCTGATGGGTCTTGTTGGACTTGCATAACTAAAAATGCCTGACTAGGCATGAATTAGAGTACAAATAGTGACAAAGATAATAGGACCTACCGATAGTTTTTAACATCGTGTTGCAGCACCTTGATCGCTTCGATCACAATTAACCCAGCAATAATAGCATTTGTTGTTGCAACAGCATGCACTATATTGCCAGCAATACCTTTAGCCTCAAAAAGACTATGAAGGGGAATCCCAAAAGAAGAAGCCCGGATATTTGCAGCAGCAGTTACAAATTCTACAGCTAACTGATCATCTTTGTCAAAACTCAAGTTACCAATCTCCTGAGACAGAGGGCAAAGATAAACATTCAATATCAACAAGAATGAAGACGAACAAGAACATGAGGCCCATAAAAATATGTAATAACTAGTCTCAGACCTCTTCTCGCTTTGAGAAAAACAACTTCAGAGCCTCAAGAAATACTTTAGAATTTTCCTTTAAGGACCATAGATCCTGTGGATTTTTCAAACCCAAAGACGCCGTTGCAGACAATGAGGGAGGATCACCATTTAAGCACTTGTGCAGATTTCCATTTTGACTAGCAAGTTCAGAGGAAAATACATCTCTGACATAAATAGGCCTTGGCTTGTTACGATTTCTCCATGTCTCTTCATTTGACAAAGCTAACTCAATGTTATAACCAAAAACATGATCATATATTCTCTTTCCATATTGTTCTATGTTTTCCTCCTTTTCCCGTTCAAAAACGTCTTTTGTTTGTTTTGATGAGCTAGAACCATCTTTGGAGTGCACATTCAAATCATGTTCCTGATTTTTGTCCCCGAATAACTTTGCAAAAAGCAGGTCCTTTGCCCATACAATACAGTGAACAAACTGCAACATAAAATGATATTATAATAGCATCTCAGATCATAATTGAGAAAGATTTGGAGACAACATGTCACTCACTTTACAACAAAAAACTGCTATTAGTTGCTAAGATCAGATTGATACTAATTTTTTAAGTGACCCAAGCAGCAAAACATGTGGTTGACCATAACCAAACTTCTTCAATTATAGAAAGGATGATCGTTTTGGGTATTATAAAAACCACAAAACATCTAATTCTTAAAATTTCGCCAACTCAACACAAAACATTGAGTCAAACTACTTCTTCATAATTAGACAGAATGCAAGTTAAGCATTAATGTGTATATTCAAACTCTTTTTATATGAAATAGATTAACTTACTCAGTAATTGTAGGAAGTAAAATATTAAGGCGATGGTACCTTCGATGGAGTGTTGGTGATAGTACACACAGGGTAAGTTTTTGGAGCCGGTTTAGGCTGGCATTCATAACACTCAGTTCTGCCCTTTACATGTACAGTAACCTGCCGCAAGCAAATGACAAAATTGAAAAGGTAAAATGAACCTGATTAAGCAAACAGAAATGTCATTATATTTTTGCAAATAATATTAGTCAAATGTAAACAGAAGCAATCAATAATGGCAGTCATAACGCTCAGTTCTGCCCTTTACATACAGAAACTTGCCGCAAGAAAATGACAATTGAAAAGGTAAAATGAACCCGCTTAAACAAACAGAAATGTCAGTAGATATATGCAAATACTGTTAGTCAGCTAGCTAATGCATGAAATATAAACAGAAGCAATTGATAATGGCATTATCCACTCCTGACACCAGTAATATACATTCTACATGTACATAATGACAATAAAGGTACATTACTGGCATCCAAACACAAAAATGTAACAACTCAATTGGTTAGGAATAATGAGTAACTCTTCAAAAGTAATACAGAGAAATACAATTACCTGTCCTAGAAATCCGGTGGTCCCACTTTCGACCAATGGAACCCCAGCTGCCAAGCAAAGGCGGTTTACATGTCGTCTAGCATCTAAATTGTCAAGCCCGTTCAAAACAACATTGAATTGCTTAAAAAAATCAACACTGAAGTCAGGATCTTTGACATTGGCATGGTATGGTGTTATGCTAATGCCGGGCCTAAATTTCAATATAGCATCCCGAGCAACCTGGTCAAATATTTAATCAAAGTATATTAGGAGGACCTGAAAGTCCAACAACTAGCGCAAAAAAGGATGAGCTTATTTACTTACTTTAGCCTTAGATTGCCCAACATGGGACTGCCTAAACAAGAATTGCCTATTTAGGTTGCTCACTTCAATGGTGTCCATGTCAATCTGCAAGCAGAGGAAAATAATAATAAAACAACTGCACCCTTCCATCAGAAATATTAAGCATGCCAGACAAAAGAGAGATTCTTAACAGCACGCCTATTTACATCATTAGTCTAACGTTGCTTCTCAAAATAAATTTTATCCACAACCAGCATTCAATAAGAGTATCATATTGCAATAAATGGTTCAATAAATAAGCATTGCCATAGGGATTTTTCAAAAACCAGGAGAGGGAGAGTGCCATAGGAAAGATACATGACAATGCACTGCAACTTTCATTACATATAAGACAGTGCTTCAAATGCCTCACACGTTAGGTCGCTAATACTGACAAGATGTATGAAGAAAAAATACAGTAAGACAGCATATGATCTGAAAAAGGTCCCCTGTGCCATTCTGGAGGAATGATAAAATGGAAAAATAAAAATGAATCGCATTATATGACCACTTTAGACAAGGACATTACTTTTGAACAAACAAAAGTCATCTGAGAAAAAGTTTTGAATACATCCAAACAAACCAGAATGTGAAATGTTAATATCACACAAAGTGGTGAAATGAGCAAAAGTTGATCGTATAGGAAGACAGCTCCACTATGAGTAGCAAAGAAGACGCTAAACAAAACCTCTAAAAAGCCCAAAATTTAATTGTACTACTACATGTGTGAGTAAAGAACTTCATACAAAAATGGAGGGAGTGGCCTACACAGAAGAAAGGAAAATGGATTTTGTTGAGGCTTGAGCGGAGAAAATAACTGCATGGGATAGAAACCCAAAAAAAAGAGAGAGAGTTTAATAATGTAATGTCTGGGAGGAGATCTTAATTAGCAAACACGAGGTGAATGTTTAAAATTCCCCATGGCCACCATACATCAAAGTCTGCACAATCAGCAATTGCCACATCACTGGGTAGATAGTCTGATGTTGTATTTTACAGTTGATCACAGTATAGTAGACCCTAAGATTAAATTCGCTCCATTGATTTCAAGGTAGATAAAAATAGAGATTAAAGCAAAAGTTTCCAATAGTAAAAGAAGTTCGAAAAATTCTTTCCCCGCATTACTTATGGACACAATAATTTTTTTGCGATTCCCAGATAGCCCTATCGAGATTTTCTCAATGGCAGGCCCCGTGCAACTACGTAAGCTCAACTGTCTCATCTTTGCATCTGCTATATTGCTTAATCATTTCCAATTGTCTACTTCATTTCATTAACATCAAGTTTTGTCAAAACAATTCGCAGCATCAGAAATGTATTATAAAATTTCAAAGAAAGAAATTGAACCTAGTATACATCCAATTCTCCATGCCCTAATTCTGTAACGAATATACTATTGTTAATTGGTGCCTACAAAGAAATTGTACTTATGGGTTAGCTGCCATACATTCTTTACCACAACCAGTAATTACTGTGGTATAGGTAATATTGAAAGGAAAAAAAAAAAAAAGGGCCAGCCGCATGTGTCCTAAAATCCTAGTTTAGAAATCTTAGAGATTCAATGAGTCAAAATTGTCAAAATAAAATACTAAATAACGAAAAAGGACGAAAAATTATACTAACAATATGAATGTCTTGGAAGCCAGATAGTGCAAGGGTTTTGAGAAGCTCGCAGCCGATGCCACCAGCGCCCACCATCAACACTTTTGAACCCTAAATCAGTTAAAAAAATAATAATAATAACCGTTTAATGTCCCCAATTGCCACTCCAACCGAGTAAATATTCAGTAAAAACAATAATGAGTTCACAAATACGAAAACCTTAATTGTTGATAACTGCTGTTCCGAAGCCATTACAGAGAAGGACAAACTGCAAGTCAAAGGACGACTAATAAAGCTATAAATAATGTATAAATAGCATTTAAAAAAGAGGAGAGGAATTTTTAGGGGTGATAATGGGTGGAATCTTGGAAGGAAATATGGGGGTTGGGATCGACGAAAAGGCGCCAACAGAATCTCTTCTTCTCTTAGGAACACGGGGGACAACAGGTGTGTTTGGTTGCGGCGAGAGTAGAAGAGGAAGGAAGACAAACAAATTAGACTAGTTTTGGACCTTTGGTAACGTTGCAAAACTTAAATTATAATTTAAATTCCGTCATTCATTATCTATTTATCCCTCCGTCTCATTTATATAGGTTTAATTTCTTTTTTTTTTTATTCCAAATATATAGTTCTGTTTTTTAATTTGGAATATTTTACTTTATTCCTTTACTAATATACATTTATTTAATTTATCTAGTTACAATTAATTTTTCTCACTTAATTTGCCTACTTCTTGAAATCATCCAAAAATATATGCACACTTCCCAATAATTTGTCTATTTCTTGAAATCAATTTTCAAATTTTTTATTAATTTCAACAATAATTTACTACTACTTGTTGAAAATTAAATATGGGTAAACTAGAAAATTTCTTATCAAAAATTATTTTTTCAATAACATTAAATAAGATTTATTAATCCGTGTAAAAAAAACAAAACAAACCTATATAAATAAGAGCGGAGTGAGTAAATAACGAAGAATCATTTTTTGAAAGATTTTAACCATATTATAATTCAATTATTTCAATAGTTTTGCCGTCCTCCTCTTTATCTCGTCGTTGACCTCTTATTAAAATTAAGACGGGACATAAGAAAAGAAACATAGATAAAAATAAATAAATAAATAAATAAAAAGCAAAGTAACAGCGATTTTTAAGTTAAAATATACAATTTCATGCATAGATAAAAACATTGATTTTTAAAAGTAAAAAATATAAAAAAAAATAAATCACGCCTTTTCCGACTTTTTACACTCAAGAACCCTAACAACCATAAACAGTATACTTCTATGTATTTTAAAATTAGCATAAAGCGTGCCACATTCGTGCGTAATCTAGTTTTTTTTTTTTTTTTAATTGCTTAAATAGGTATTGATATGGTAAATGATGACAGTAAAAGTATTAAATCCTTGAATAGACATTGGAACTTTATCAACTTCAGAGCTTGTGTATACTTGACTTTTTTGTGTTAACACTAGCCGAAGTCTTATATCAATGAAAATGCAATAATAATAAGCAATTATTAACATACTTTTAATAAAAAACCATCTAACGAATAAATTGGTGGGAGAAAAGGTTATAACTTCTACGTAAATAAAGGACACTTGTCGACCATTTTTTCGTCAGCATCCAATTTATTTTTTTCAATTCTATTTCCAAACGATGGCTTGATTTTCCCATTTCCTTTCATTTTATTTGGCTCACCCGTAGAAGGAAGAAGCCCTTCGTTCTCATTTGCCTCACCCGCAAAAGGAACAACTCGCTTAACACTATCAACGTTCATATGTCGATCTCTCACCAAGAAGCTATTTGCTGACCTAGACAAGATATTCTCACACAAATCATTCACACTTGGTTCGAATATGCAAAACAAAGAATGTTGAATCGCTGAAAAATCATAACCGAACGAGGGTTTTGGGAAGAAGGGATTTTTACACGAGAAAGTAAGTGTTTCTCAGATGGACTTCGTAGTTGCAGTTTTTTTTAGCTATTTAGCTAAAGGTTTGTTCATTTCTCGTGGGAGTTTATGCTAAATTATGAAAAGATTATTCAGATCGGCTTCGTTGTTGTAGTTTTTTAGTTAAAGATTTGTTCATTTCTTGTGAAACATGCTAATCCCTACAAATAGTGGTATATATCTGCTAAGATGGCATTTATGAAGTTTGTATCTCGATCTTCCATTATGTGTTTCACAAGTTCAAAAAATCTCTATTTTAATTCAAAAATATGCCACTTTTCCACTGTAAGATGGACCATCAAAGCCCAAGGTCCAAATATAAGAATTCTTGAATACAAAAAAATAGAGAGGAAAACAAAGGAGTCTAGGGTTTCTACATCACTTGAATTAATAAAATTACAAGAAAAAGGAAAACTTTAAATAGTCTTACAAGTAGACAAATAAAATAACTAATCTACCCTTAATATAAAATTAATATATTTAACATCTCCCCTCAAATTCATGATATTGCTGCAAGAAGTATCGAGAATTTGCCAAAGACAAAATGAAATTGCGAAATGGAATATGACTTCGTAAACAAGTCAGCAATCTGCATAGTGGAAGAAACAAAAGGTAACGTTATAGTGCCAAGTTGATAATGATGTCGAGTGACATGACAATCAATCTCAATATGCTTCGTCCTCTCATGAAATATCAAATTGCGCGCAATTTGAATAGCACTCTTATTACCACAATACAACGGAGTTGGTCGACTGAGAAATATATCTATATCTACAAGCAACCAACGTAACCAAACTACCTCACAAATAGTAGAAGCCATGGCGAAATAGTATTTTGTTTCTTGCTCTTCCAAGAAATAAGAAAATCACCAAGAAATATACAGAAGCCAGTGGTAGACTGACGATCTTTAGGATCACTAGCCCAATCAGCAACACAATATGCTCGTAATTCTAATGAAGAAGTAGAGGAAAGTAAAAGACTCTGAAATTGAGTGCGATGAAGGTACCTCAAGATATGAAGAATAGCAACCCAATGAACTGTGGTAGGCATGGTAACAAACTGACTAACTATATGAACATCATATACAATATCTAAATGAGTGATGGTGAGATAAATCGAGCTACCAACAATAGTATGATATAAACTAGGATTTGATAATGGAGAACCATCGGAAGAAGAATATTTAGCATTGAGCTCAAGGGGTGTATCAACAATCTTATTATAAGAAAGATGTGCATGCTCAAATATATCAGCTATGTACTTAGACTGAGAAAAAAGATAACCTTTCGAAGATGATGCAACTTCAATATCCAAAAAATAACGGAGTGGGCCTAAAACTTTCTTTGCAAAGCAACGAGCTTACTTCGACTTTAGTGCCGCTATCCCATCATATCATCACCATAATAATCATGTCATTATCATATAAAGAAAGCAAAATGTGACCAGCAGCTATACATTTGTAAAATAGAACTGAATCATGATTACTAGAACAAAAACCAAGTGAAGTAATCACAGTAGAAAACTTCTCAAACCAAGCTCGTGGTGCTTGTTTGAGACCATTGAGAGCTTTTCGAAGTTTGCAAACTACACCATGTTGATGAGAAACATCAGGAAGAGGAACCATATAGACTTTTTCATGTAGATCTCCATTCAAGAAGGTATTCTTAACATTCATTTGAGATATACCACATCGATGAACAGAAGCAACTGTAATAAAGGTGCAAATAGTAGTCATTTTTGTAACAGGTGCAAAAGTTTCCTCATAATCCATGTCATACTCCTGAGAATATCCCTTTGCAACTAATCGAGTTTTATATCTTTCAACAGATCTATCTAACTTAGTTTTGATTTTATACACCCATTGAGAACCAATTGCTCATTTTCCTAGTGGTAGAGATACTGAGTCCCATGTATATGTCTGATGCAGAGCAGTAAGTTCTTCAACCATAGCCTCCTGCCAAAGTGGATTACAAACTTCCTCTCTATTAGACAAAGGCTCAGAAAGATGATGAACAAAAACTAAAATGAAATGAAAGAACTAAAGTAACAAATATAAGCAAAATTTGATAATTGAATAGATTTACGAGTATACACAGGGTAACGAGGAGGAGGAGACCTAGTCTTAAAATGTGGTTGGGCAGCTGACGAAAGAGAGGGAACAACTGATGTATTAGGAGTCAAAGTACTAGTATCTACAGAACTATCAATGGGAACCCTACAAGAATCAATATCTGAAGTGGGAGTAAATGTGTGGAACTAGTTGTGGGACAATCTTATTATTACCAACGAATGGATCAATGTGTATAAGATCAGACTTAGTCATGTTATGAGAATTAGCAGAAATAGAAAAGAAAAAAGGTATATGTTCAAGGAATATAACATGATGAGAGATATATAATTTTTAACTAACTAGATCAAAACAACGATAGCTCTTTTGCCCTGCACCATAACCGAGAAAGACACAAATAGTAGATCTAGAGGATAATTTACTACGCTCAACATGAGGTTGAAGAACAAAACATGTAGAATCAAAGACACCTAAAGAAGAATAATTGGGAGCATATCCATATAACTTTTCAAAATGAGACAAACCTGAATTATGTGAGGTTGGGATCCTATTGATCAAATGAGCAGAAGTAAGCATTGCTTCTCCCTAGAATTCACTAGGAGTGGAAGCAAAGAGTGAAAGAGAATGGGCCATCTCAACAAGATGTCTATATTTTCTTTTAGCAACACCATTTTGTTCGGGAGTGTTTGTACAAGCAATTTGATGAATAGTGCTATCAGAAGCAAGCAAATTAGAAAAGGCATTAGAGGTATACTCCCCACCCAAATCACATCGAAAACATTTGATAATAGCAGAATGCTGAATTTTAACAAGTGCTCTAAATGTACTGAAAATAATAAAGAAGTCAGAACAACGCTTCATAAGAAAGACCCAACAATAACGAGTGTAATCATCAATAAAAGAAACGTAATATCTTGAACCCTCTTTAGTGGTAACGAGAGAAGGTCCCCATATATCAGAGTGAACGAGATCAAAAGGAGCAACATAAACAGAGATACTTTTATTAAAAGGTAATGCAAAAAATTTTGCTAATTTACATCCACTACAATCAGAAATATCATTTATTTTCAAATTACCTAATGCTCTAGTGGAAACTAAGAACTTTAAACGAGATGCTGAAACATGACCAAGACGAGAATGCCATAAATAGAAGGTAGAAGATAAATTATTCAAACGGAAAGATGACAAATCAACACTGGAAGCTCCAATTTCTGGTACTTTAAGCATATCCAAAACATAGAGTCTCCAATGCCTACGGTAGGTTCCAATCATCTTCTGAGATTGTAGGTCTTGCACATAACTTGTAGTAGAAGAAAAAGATACTAAATATCCAGATTCACATAATTGGCTAATAAAAACAAGATTTAAAGTAAGGCTAGGAATGTGATAGACGTCATTGAGAGACAAACAATGTGTATCAATAGAACCAACGCCTGCTATAGACATAGGAGTACCATCAGCAGTCACAACTGACACAGAAGACTT